AAAACTATCTTACCCATCCAGAGATCAAATAAATATTTACCTGTATTTTTTTATAGCTCTTTTATGGTTTAATGTTTCATTTGACATTGGTATTTTTGTTTTTTTTCCATCATTCTTGTAAGATATTTATCAATTTTATTGATCTTTTCAAAGAATCAGGTTATTTTTCATTGTTTTTCTGTTTTTAACGATTTCTGCTCTTTATTATTTCCTCAGTTCTCCTTGTTTTGCATTTAATTTACTTTTTGCTTTGAGTGAAAGCCTACGTGATTAACTTGAGGCCTGCCTTCTTTTCTAATATAAGTACTTAATGTTAAACATATCTCTTTAAATACTTCTTTACCTGCATCCCACAGATTTTGATATGTCATGTTTTCATTTTCATTTAGTTCAAAATACTTTCTAATATCCATTTTTATTTTCTTCTTTGACTAATGGATTATTTAGTAGTGTGCTGTTTAGTTTCCAAATATTTTGGAATTTTATCTTTTATTATTGATTTCTAAGTATGATCAGAGAACATATTTTGTATTTTTCTATGTTTATTACATGTCAGGTCAAATTGGTTTTAGTACTGTTCAAGTCTTGTATATCCTTATTGATTTTTCTATCTACTTTTTTCTATGAGTTATTGAAAGAGGAATGTTTCTATCTTGGACTATAGTTGTACATTTGTATTTTTCTCCTTTAGTTCAGTTATTTTCTTCATGTAATTTGAAACTTTGTTATTAGGTGCATAAATGTTTAGGATTTTTATGACCTCTTGTTGAACTGACCCTTTTATTGCTATGAAATGACCCTTTTTCTCCCTAGTAATGTTCTTTGCTCTGAAATCTACTTTCACAGTATTTATAGTCACCTCAGCTTTCTTTTGAGTAGTATTAGCATGGTATATCTTTTCCTGTCCTTTTACTTTTAATCTATTTGTGTCTTCATACTTAAAGTGGGTTCTTATAAGCAACATGTAGTTGGGTCTTGCCTTTTTTGTTCAATCTAACAGTATCTGATTTTTAGTTGGAGCTTTTGGAGCATTTACATGTAGTATGGTTATTGATAAGGTTGGATTTAAATCACCATCTTGCTATTTGTTTTCTATTCATCCCTTCTGTACTTTGTTCCTTTTTTCCTCTTTTTTCTGCCTTCTTTTGGATTGATTGTTTTTTATTATCTAATTTTATCTCATTTATTGGCATATTAGCTATATCTCTTTGGGTCTCTTTGTTTATTTGTTTCTTTAGTGGTCGCTTTTGATTTCATAGTATGTGTGTTTAACTTATCACAGTCTACCTTCAAGCATATACTTCCATTTTCCCCTTTCTGGCCTTTGTGCTATTGATTTTGCTTGTAATCCCAAAATACATTGTTTTTGCTTTAAAAGTAAATTCTCTTTTATAAAGAGATGTTTTAAAATAAGAAAAAATTCTTTTATGTTTACCTACATGTTTATTATTTCTGGTGCTATTCATTCCTTTGTGAAGATTTCTATTTAATATAATATTTTTTCTGCTTGAAGAAAGGACCTCCTTTAACATTTTTTGTAGTTTGATCTTTTAGCTTTGCTATGTCTCCGTTCGTTTCTGAAAGCTATTGAGAGTTATTCTTTTAGTACTTCGAAGATGTTTCTCCACTACTTTCTGACTTGCATTGTTTTTGATGAGAAATCTGCTCTCATTTCTTTCTTTTTTTCTCTGTATGTAATGTGTCTTTTTCCTCAGACTGCTTTTAAGATATTCTCTTACTACTAATTTTAAGCAATTTGATCATACTGTGCCTTGGTATAGTTTTCTTTATGTTTCTTGTGTTTGGGGTTTGTTGCTCTTCTTAGATCTGTGGGTTTATAATCTTCATTAAATTTGGAAAAATTTCAGTTGTTATTTCTGCAAACATTGTTTTTCACTTTTTCTCTCCTCTCCTTTTTGGACATAAATGATATGTATGCTTGAATTTTATAAGTTCAGATATGATTTTTTTTCTTTTTTTTTCTGGTCTTTTTTTCCCCTCAGTGTTTCATTTTGGTAACTTCTGTTATGTCTTCAAGTTTACTAATCATTTCTTCTGCAGTGTCCAGTCTGTTCGTACTATTTGGTGTAATTTTCATCTCAGACATTGTAGTTTTAATCTCTAGAAATTTGATTTGGGTCTTTTTTTATACATTCCATGTCACTCCATAACATATTTATGCTTTCTTTTACTTTCTTGAACCTATGGAGTATATTTGTAATAGTCGTTTTAATAGAATTGTGTACTAATTCTGTTATTTGTGTCATTTCTGAGTCAGTTGCTATTGATTGATTTTTCTGCTTATTATACATTGTATTTTTCTGCTTTTTTGCATGCCTGGTAATTTTTGACTGGACGCCAGACATTGTGACTTTTATGTTGTATGCTAGATTTCTAAAAATTCTTTTAATATTTTGAATTCTACTCTAGGATGCAGTTAATTTATTTGGAAAGAATTTGGTCCTTTCAAGGCTTACTTGTAAGCTCTGTTAGGAGGGACCAGAGCAACCTTTAATCTAGGGCTAATTTGGTCCCGCTACTGAGGCAGTATCCTTCGCAGTACTCAACCTAATTTCCCACATATTATGAGATTTCTTCACTCTGGCTGTTGGGAACATGAACTATTCCCAGCCCTGTGTGAGTACTGGGAATTCTTCAGCCTGCCTCTTTCCAATGGTTCTTTCCTTGGCCTTAGAGAATTTTCTCACAGACATGTGCTAATCAGTTCTCAGATGAAGATTTTGAGGGGAACCTTCTGCAGATTCTGGGGCTCTCTTTGCAGCTCTGTCCTCTCTGGCATTCTGCTCTATGAATTTTAGTCACACTGGCCTTCTTGAATTCTTAACTCTGTCTCTTTAACTCAGGGAATCTGCCATGCTCTGTTAGGATTCCCCTTCCTGCTGTGCATCCTGGGTAAATTAAGGCTTACCTTGTTTGTTTCTCTTCTCTCAGGAATTACTGAGCTGAGCTGCCTGGTGTCCCAGATCTGAAAACTGTTGTTTTATATATTTTGCCCAGTTTTTTAGTTTTGTAAGACAGAAGAGTAAATTCAGTCCCTGTTGCTCCATCATATCCTGAAACAGAGGTCACTGTAATTGTACTTTTAATTCTCTGTCCAAATAATTTTTAGAAGATGTTCGTTTTAAATTTTTAAGTATTAATAGGGCTTTTTAAAAAACATTTGCTTATCTGTTTAAAATTTTAAAAATAACTTCTAGTTTTATTGTCTTGTATTCAGAAGATGAAACTTGTACCATTTTTCCTGTGGAAATTTATTGATTTCTTTGTGGCTTATTACAAGGTCACTTTTTGTGATTTCTTTGTGTACAACTTAAAAAAATGGTTTTTAGTAGGAATCAAATCTAAACATGCACACAATCATATGTAGTCAGTCTTATTATATATTTTAAATATCTTGTCTTTATTTTCTGCCTTAGAATCATAGATTGATGTCTACCAATTTTAAAGTGGCTAAAAAATAAAATTAACCTTGTAGTTATTCTAAGTGCCACCCTTTACAAATTTTGAATTTTTTCAGTTATACCAGAACTCTTTGAATATAATCTTGGATTCAAGAAGATACTAGGCACTCAATACCCCTTAGTGATTTGGGATAATTTCCATTTGACGTTTCTTTAAAAACAAGAAATAAAACTCTAAATTTTCCAAAACTACTAATTGAAGGAATAATTGGCAGACTAATTTCTAGTCTTCGTTGATGCCTGTTTCTTAGGTGTTAACATCCAAATTACCTCATGATATATTTAAATTTTAAAAGTCTACTTTAAATGAACCAGATTAAGAAATACGTTTTAAATAAATATATATGTATATTAGAAATGTATATTAAATATATGATCTATAGATTAAGAAATAAAGCCAAGCTTTATTTTCTTATTTTTCTTAAGGATTATAAACAACTGTTTACAGATAATTACCTTTCACTTTATTTAAGCTCATACTCATAGAGTTATTTTAGTTCTGCAGAGAGAGATTAAAATAATAATAGGTCTAATAACTTCTTCTGTCAGCTCTGTAATTGAGAGATCTATCATCAGAAGACGAGGCCGAGAATTTTGATTGGAAACACATAGTGGGAGACAGAGAACCTAAAAGTCTTTGGGGCTAAGGAACTGGAACAGAAAACTCCAGAGCAGGCTCTGACCAGCATTTTCACAGAGCCAACATGTATTCCAAGCTGAGGCCATTGCCTCCTAATGCCAAAGAATCCTACAGATGCCGTCTAAGCTTGTCACCAACCATCTCGCTCAGCTTTCTACCTAATTCCTCATTCCCAAACATGCAGCGAGATCCATAATTTTAAGATATTTTACTTTATAATTATACATGTATAATAATGAAAAAATGTTTTTTATAGTCTGTAGCCTTTTAAATTCTCATTGAAGAAGTATTATGCATCTGGACCAATAATGCTTGTATTTGTGTGTGGGGGGGACTTTTTAAGCAAAATAATTATATATGGTATAAGCTGCTCTATTTAATTTTTTGTGTCAATATTTTTCTATGTTCTTTATAATTTTCCCTCTTATGACTGCAAATGTTTGTTCTCAGTTGCAAAACATACCACATTTAAAAATACATTAAATTTTCACAAAATTACACTTTAAATTATGAATGCTCTAATTCTAAAATCTTCTTTGCTTTTTAAATTTCAAGATTAAATTGATAATATTTAAGTATGTACTTGCTATACTTTCTTATTATGATTGGGAATAGCATCTTCCCTGAGGAACTAACATATTAGCAGATGAATCTGTTACTATCACTATCAACATGCCTTTGTTTGAAACCTTTATTTACATTTTTAAGCAAGATAGTCAGGCCAGTTTAATCTGTTGACAAAACCCCATGTGTGAATAAGTATAAGACTGAAAGGGAGAAATGGGATGAGAAAAAAATTTTGTTTATCCCTGGACTTTTTTTTTTTTTTTTGCCAAGAATTAAATTTGCCTCAGCTTAATTGCTTTATGCACATTCTTATGACGTTGCACGATTGGGAGCGAGGAAGAAAAAGAGCTGTGACTGTGTGGTATGTATCTAAGAGTGTGTTAGAGAGGGAGAGGAGAACGCATAAGCAAGCTGGTTTGACCAGAAACAGAACTGCCTGTGACAGATTAAGAGACAAGCAAGGCTTGGAATCTGAGAGCAAGCAAAGAGAGTGGAAATTTACAGCTCCCCTGTGTGAGTGTTCAAGTGATCATTTTCTGCTAACGTTTTCCGGTGGTAACTGTTGCTCTTCAAAGAGAGAGACAGAAAGTCAAGACAAGATTGTGGAAACTCTTTTCTCTTCCACGCTTTGGTAATAGGAGGCACCCTCTATTAAATGGAAGATAAAGACTGCTTCGTCTAAGGTGCTTTGAACCCGAGAGAGAGCTGTCTTCAGCACCTCACCATGTGTCTACTTTTTGTTGCTTAGACAAGCCTGGGCATTTCTATAACATTTGGTGAGTATCAACCAGGTTATCTATACCGTTTCATAGAAATGGAATTAATATGGTAAACTTTAGTTCTAGTTGAAGTTTTACAGTTGTTGCTTAGACATTCATTTGATAAATCATGTTGTTACCTTGTTTCTTTATGCATGATGAACTGCTGTTACTAGGAGAGGTTTAAAAAACAACTACAAAACAATACTTCTCTGTTGCCTAAGGCATTTGAACCATTACCAACTATTCTGTGTCCATGGAATATCTTATTTTGGAAACGGGTTTTTATTTACAAAGTTTCCAAAAATAAAAGTAGTGGCAGTATACCATTTTTTATATTTCTCTTTAAACTGCACGAAAATTCAAAAGCTATCCCTTTCTGTCTATTATCAGTAAATTTAAAATTATCATTGTGATGTTTGATATTATCAATTATTATAAATTACAGCATTCCCTTATAATTCAAATAGAAATGTTAATGATACCATTAATTAAAAGGATATATAATTTAAATGTTGAATGTTTCTGTTAGATCCAATAAGTGACACATGATTTTTCCAAAATTCTGTAATGAAAATAAAAATTAGACAATTTACATATTAGATTTACCATTTAATACAAAATGAATGCACATGGATTTCATATTAAGGAATAAAGCAGTTATTTTGTTCTTATAGCTGATACCAAGCTCTCATGTAATGTTGTTCTGCTGAAGAACTATTATAACTAGATGCAAATGTATATAAGCAATAGAGCAGAGAAAAGAAAAGTAAACTCTTAAATACGTATTTACATTCCAATTCCAAACTTCATGTACGACTGTAACATAGGAGATTGTAGGCTAATTTTATAGGCATTGACAGAAGACATGTAGTCATTCCTCTGTGGGAGGAAGTATGTATTGTTAGCTGCTAAACTGAGTCATTGCATAAAGATGCACCATTCTAACAAGTTTCTAATCTACTCTCTGCCAGTCTCAAAAAATTTCCTTAGTTACTGATTCAATTGAGTCCTTTAAGGCAGAACAACTTAGCTGAAATGAAAACTTCAGCAGAGTGTCAGTAAACCTATTAAAAGAGTTTGTACCCTAGACATAATATAAAATGGCTGTACTTTTTCTGATATTTCCTCTATGTGTGCAGAAGCCTGTAGAACAGGTTTTGTTTTGCGGGGTTTTTTTTTTTAGCCTATTGACCTGTGTATAAGAAGAAACTCAGCTGGTCTGTGGAAATCTTTTCTGGACCAATATCTTGCATTTAAAGTCAAAAGTAGATACAATAGAGATAATATCACAAACTCAATTTTTACTTCTTTATAGAATTTCCCACCTTAGATCCTTCTTAGACCAATGGAAGATTTGCACACAGCTTCACAATTGTCAGAATAATTTTTTATTTTAAACTAGTAATTCATTAGTATTACTTTAGTGGTGGCACCATTTCTTAAGCACATAGGAACGTAAATATAGAAATAAAGTATAAGTCATCCCTAATTTACGAATGTTTTGTACTTTAGAAATTTAGAGTGAGTTGTTGGAAATTTGGGACGCATCTTCTCTGGGAAACAGTTTAACAAAGGATTGTTTGGCTTTTATTATAGCCTAAGAATATATTTTAGTCACACTATAGAAGAACCATCACCACCCTGAAAAATATTAGAAAATCAATTCTAGTGATGAAACTAAATATAAAAACAATTATGTTAAATAAGACATTATTTTTATTTATCCTAAATATTAATGCTTGAAGAAAAGCAAATTTAATGAGATGGATGGGTATTTGGAAGAATGCTTATAAATAGGATTTCTAGGTACTTTTTTTTAATAATTTTATTTATTTATTTATTTTTCCCCCCAAAGCCCCAGTAGATAGTTGTATGTCACAGCTGCACATCCTTCTAGTTGCTGTAGGTGGGACGTGGCCTCAGCATGGCTGGAGAAGCAGTGCCTCGGTGCGCGCCCGGGATCCAAACCCGGGCCTCCAGCAGTGAAGTGCGTGCACTTAACCGCTAAGCCACAGGGCCGGCCCTCTAGGTACTTTTAAGAGCTTCCAAGGTTGATTGCACTGTTTATGAGATCTAATCTTATGTTAAAATCAGTGATGTTTCTTTTCTTTGCTACAGGAATATTTCTAGCCATTGCTTTCATGCTTATCAGCCATTTCTGAGGTCCAGGCCAGTGTCTTGGCACATAAGTAGGTACCTAATAAATAGTTACTAGATGAGGACTAAACTCTTTCTTTGATTCCTGAAAATGTAACTGAGTAATTTTTCCAAGGTATCCAAAAATGGAAAGGAGTTTAGGGGCACACACTTTTCATTATGAGAAGAAATGCCTTGACGAGAGTTGGTTGAATTGTGAGAAGTGAACAAAGCAATAGTACAGAATAGGCCTAACTATTAAGAGAAAAAGAAAAGACCTTGGTATAACTTGATGGCAGTCCTGAATGTTAGAGATGGTGATGAGGTGAGACAGTTTACTGGCGAGGTATCTTGAGTACATGCGATATTCTGAAGTAAGGTGTCAGCTTTAACTTTATTTATTTGCATATGTGTACTAGGACCCATATGAAGGAATGTGGCCTATTGGTAAAACTCAAATCAAGTCTATCCAAATTAACTTTAATTATACTGGCCTAAAAGTTTCTCTAAAGTGCTGAGATATAACATTTAAAAGTTAGTATTGCAATAAACATTTGTAATGGAGTAATTAATAATGAAATAATACAATGAATGCAGATTACAGTTATCTTGGATGATTTTTAGTGGCAGAAAAACTTTTCCGTTTGATCAATAAACACTTTCTTTGTTCTGTTTGAAAAAAATTTAAAATAAACCTGCCACCACATTAAAAAAAAATTCAGAAAAGTTCAGGAATGACCATTCTTTTATTGGCAAATCATATTTAAAAAGTAATGATTTTGAATAATCCTAAGTGGCATAAAATAGGTGCTTAATAAATATTTGTTGAATGATTGAATGAAATAAGATGGAATAGTTTGGACGATTTTCCATTTCTGAGATATGGATGTCTGTATTTACATGTACGTATACGTATGTTTTTATAGTACAGCTTAAAGATAATATTTAGCTGATATTCTCTTAGCAAGGAAAAAAATCTATTAATACTATATTAGCATGCTTTTTAATTATGGTCATACTTAGTACTCCATTGGTAATTAAAGTAATTGGTTTAAACTGAAATCTTTACTGCTTGTAAATGAGATAATATACTTTTCAGTTTTGTGTCTTATATGTCTTAAATTTCTAGCAGAAACTCATCTAGTCTCTTCCAACTTTGGAAGAGAGGTTATATTAACCTACCCAGCCAGAAAAACTTTCCGAACCTGAAGTCTAAGAGATACTTGCTAACTATAGCTCAATCGCTTTCATCTCTACTCTTCCGTGTTAATGTTTTTATAGATTGACAGTTCATAGACAACAGGGGCTTACTGAAGCTATGAAATAGTTATTTTCACTCTATAACTGTAACTTTTTCACTCTGTAACTGTAAACCTTGTCTTAAAACCAGTAACAGTATCTAACCAAAATTTGGTGATTGTTATGTATAAAATGTATGTGCTTACAGGAAAGACTAAAAAAAAAGTGAATTTTGAGTTTCCCTTGATAATTCCATTGTGAGAAATAACCATTTGTGAATTTCGGTGAGATTTGATGCTTTACTTACAGTTACTAGTTTTTGAGAATACTGATCTAGCTTCAAATCTCTGCTATAAATTGAGATTGTGCAATTCTAATAGTATCTAATTCTAGTAGTATCTAATACTAATTTAGAATTAGTATTCTAATTCTAAAAGTATCATTCATTGACAATCATTAATAGCTAAGAGATGTAGAAACTTTTAGCTCTTACCAATGACTGGAGCTGTCAACAGAAACATTACTATGAATCTAATGAATGAAGTTACTGGTTGTTTTTTCTGGAACAGTAGTCTAGTAGGTTATTATTTATAACAATAAATAAATTAGTAGTTGTATGTCTTCCTAACTTCATATACTAGTTCTATTTTTAAGTTATTTCAGTAGTTACAATATATTAGAATTAAGAAGCAATTCCCAAGGACATGGGTTTCTCTTCTTATAAAAGAGTTTTTATTCCGATGTAAGTCTGATCAAGACTTCCAGATGAATAAGGATGCATAAAAAACTTCTCACGTGTTTTCCATTTCTATGTAAATTGTCTTATTTTTAGAAAATGTCTCTCCCTCAAACTCTGTTAATAAAACTTATAAAAACAAGATCATTCTTAGTAATTTTGAACTGAGAAAAAGGATGATCAGTGACAGTATTTATACTTGTCTACTGATTTTCACTCATTTCTTTAGATTTTCAAGTACAAAATTCAATTGTGGTGCCTTCTAATTATATTTAGGATGTATATTTTAAAATGGAATAGTTGGAGGGTAGAAGACATTAATTGGAAGATACTTTGACATATATAATATGCTTTATAATGGATTTGTTGTCATAACATATATAACTATAATGATATTCTTTGTAATTTATTATCTCTGTGATGGCAATTCTAAATTATGACTTTGCCGGGGGAGCAGGGGAAGGCCTACTTGGATACAGCAAATACAGTAGAACGTTTAGTGTACTGAAATACTTTATGTATTTTAAAATTTACATTCAATCAAATGCACTCATTTTAAGAGAACAGGTCAATGAATATGGGCAAATGTATACATTCATGTAACCTCCATCCCATTAGTCTTTAAAAGATGAATCTTATAGGCCCAATTATTTGCCATAGATGCACTTGATTGCATTGTTTCTATCTGTGAGTCTTATTTGGAATACAGATAAAAGAATGGTAGTAATTCATGAACTTTTCTGAATTTTTCTTATGTGGTGGTAGGTTTATTTTAATTTTTTTCAGTTTAAGAGACGGTACCCGTGCCTTAAGTTTAAATTAGCAAACTCTGAGAAAGAATTTTGGAAATGTTCCTCTCTCACTTATCGTTGATTGTAAATAGACTTAAATGAAGGGAAAGAAG